AAAATAAAATTTTATATAAGATTATTATAATAGTTATTATAATATACTATAACTTTAAGAAGTATAGTATTACTTATAACTCTATAAATATAGGTAGAATCTCTACCTATATTTATATTTATATCTACCTATATACCTAGTAAACCTATCTACCTATAGCTTAGGTCTACTTATAACCTAACCTATTTATATAGCTACCTATAGGTATCTATAGTATAGGTAATTTGAAGTCTAATTATTAGGAGAAAGCCTACTAAGGCAGAGGCTGCTAAGAAAACTGCCTAGATAACCGCTTAATTGCACGATTGAGAAAGTATTATAAAATGTAGACTGTTGTCTCTCAAATTGTTTGGTTGTAAAAGCTGAAATAGCGTGAGAAAATAGAATGACTATAGGAATCTCTTGGATTGTGATTTGGTCCAGCCCTGCATATGTCGTTCAGTTCTTGCGCCTTTGAAGGCTTCAAATGATCAGTTCTATGAACGGACGTGATTGACTCTGACATTTTGTTAATGCTATGTGATAACCTTGGGAATAACGTTTCTGCCGTGCTGCTTCGGACTGAATATAGACGACGGGTCATTTGTTTTCTCCCGAGACATTTATGAACAACTACATTTTTGCAGAAGTAAATCTTAGAAGCTCTGTTGCTAGTGCTAGAGCGATTATGGTATATGCAACTGGTGACTTAATTCGTTGTGCATGGAGCTTGTGCTGTTCCTGAATACGACATGGGGTTTGCAAACGGCAGCGTTGGCGCCGACAACCACGTCCAAATGGAGGCATAGTTTCGTGCAGCAACAAGGGTAGGCGAGCAAAGAGATATCATCCGTTCACCAGCCTCAACCAACACAACAGCAGGTGGCCACATATGTGGACTCTCATGCGGCCAACTGGACTTTTGGCACAGGTTCGGGCATGCTCATTGGATATCACATCTGCGACCACCGGCTCAGTACCAACAAACCAGCAAACTTCGGAGCAACTGATAGATGGAAGAAAGAAAAATGCTAATCCTTGCTGATTTCACTCCGTGAAAGCCTTGCGACACACCGCAAAATAACATTTCACAAACGACTGGACTTCTATGTTGGGAATGAGCCCTTGGAAAAGTGTGGACTACCTAGGATACACAAGCGACGCTGTCCCAGATACCCAAGGTACTTGGTGTTCACTTCCATCAGACAAACCCTCTCAACTTCTTTCTGCTTAGAAATCTTACAACAGTGCCGAATCTTGCGCGCAATCTCACGAATGATTACCACGCAGTGAGGCACATTTTCATTCATCAAGCCCTGTCTGCTGTCAAAATGAACTCAGATGGTGCCCAGTTCGCCAATGTCGCCGACCGCCACATCATTCTGGTGGCGGACGAGGTAAGTTGACAATCCTTGTGATCCCCAACTCCTGGGCTAAATCCAAATAGGGTTTCGAGGACGAAGCAGCGGACATGGAGATTGTTAGGGCAGCGAACTCCACCAGGAGCTTGAACAGCTCGATTTTCGATCACCGCTTTGAAAATGGGAGGACATACCACAAGTACAAAGACGGGAGTGAGTCGTTACGTTCCACGTTATGGTGGCAGAACATCTGACGGGAAAATGAGAATACACCCTCCCGAACGACGAAACCGAGACCGAACGTCTAGGTTGCCAGTCCCGGAACGAGCGGAATCAATGAATCCTGTCTAATCGCCGATGCAGATCTGCAACACCATCTGTTCAGGTTGACTTTCAATGGCAGACTGGCCAATGCACCTTCGCTCCATGAAGGCTCTAGTGTTGGTCGAGTTCTCGACCTGGGCTGCGGAACCGGGCTTTGGGCCATCGAGCTTGCAGATGAGCATCCAGAGGCAGAGGTGTGTTCTTGAAATTCCTCTTATTCCGTCGAACTTTTTGTTGAAAAGCTGAGCTGTCAGATAATCGGAGTGGACCTTTCTCCAATCCAGCCAGAGTTGTGAGTACAATCTATGCTTCAGAAAGTTGACCATTTGTACTTATCAGGATTCCAAGTATCCCTGCAAACGTCATGTTCGAGATTGACGATATCGAAGAGGATTGGACATGGTCAAAGCCCTTTGATTACATCCATAGTCGCATGATGAACTCAAACATTGGCAATTGGGATGACTATGTTGCACAGGCTTATGTGTAAGTCTTGCTCAATCGTCCTTGCAACAGAAAGAGCCATGGAGGAAAAGCTGACTTTAGCTGGTAGTAATCTTAGTCCTGGAGGGTGGTTGGAGCTCAACGAATGCGACATAGCGCCTATTTCAGACGATGGTAGTCTGCGTGATGGGTCAGCTATTGTTAGGTCCGTGAGACTTTTGGAGTCAGCAGCAGAGTCATTTGGTAGGCCTTTCAGGTATATGAGTGGGCTCAAGGCCATACTCGTCAATGCGGGCTTCGTGAACGTTGAGCTCCTGCAATTTAAGTGGCCTACAAATCCATGGCCAAAAGAACCAAGATTCAAAGAGCTTGCTTGGTGGATGAGCAGAAACCTGGCCACAGGATGGGAAGGGGTGTGCCTCGCAAATCTGACTCGAGCTCATGGCTGGCAGAAGGAAGAGGTAGATCTACTACTGGAAAGATGCCGGGCAGAGTTTGAGGACCCCAATGTCCATGCGTACTTCTCGATGTGAGTACTTGAAAGCATTGGTAACTAGTGCTCTACTAATCAAAGGGTAAGATGGTCAGTTTATGGCCAGAAACCTATCGCAACCAGACATTCTAATAGTAGCCCTTAATCTGGCGTTCAAGCCAAGGATTAGAATGAAGAATACCTTCTTCAGGTTTCGGCATCATCTAGGCCTGCCCTCAAAGCATGAGATCATCGCATGTTATTAGATAAACGTGCGTTAGGTAACCGTCATTGAAAAAAGCAGCTTCAGTTTGAGTGTGTCATATGTTGAGTACTGGCCCGCCTTAGTTACCCCTTGAATATCTTGTCTCGATGAACCAGACTATCCATGCCAATATGAAGTTTGTTACCGGAAGCCAGTAAGGCATTCCCGCCCTCATCTGGCTCCAATACCCTGAACTTGTCAGGAAACAGCCGAGGAAGAGAGTGACGGCAGACGCTCGTGTCCATGGAAAACCCAACAAGAACCCCTCCATGACCATCAACACCCCGATGTATTGCATGTGTAGCTTGGTGGTCCGAGGATCAGTAAAGGGATACACCGGATGAAGATGCGGCGCTGTGATCTGAGACTTTCGGTAGATTCTTTCGTGGAGGGATTTGAATGGCCAGGAGCTGATCCTGGGCCAGCCGCCGATGAAATACTCGATTGTAAGAACGATACGTGGAACGCTAAGAATGATAGACGACATGATGAACCAGTTGATACTTGATACTTGATACAGCAGATTAGTTTTATTGATTGAAGAAGGTATCACCCGCGAATTGTTGACTGTGGGGGGAGTAAAAGTATCTTGCGATCGATTTGGAGTCGATGATGTAATCACTGTCTTACTGCGACCGGCGATCCCACGGGCTAGCCGTCGTAGGCGAATCAGACGGACGCCTTAGCTTTTGAATATGTAGAAGGGATGCGGCATGCATCATGCATTTATTCGCGAATAACAAGAAAACACATGCCAACTAGAAATCCAACGGCTTGCTTCCGTCATATTTCCCAATATGAGACCTTATTGAGGCACCTTTGAAATCGCTGCCATGGTCTCTTTTGCTCCTCTCGCCAGGATAGCCGAGTCCTGTCCCCCAAGCAGGAACCGTACACCAAGTTGGTTGATTGCCCAGTCATGAAGCTCGTGATCATCGTATATGCCGGCTAAACCCATGATCTTCCCGTGCTTCTCGCAAGCTTGACTGATTGTCTCCATAGCCGCCCGAAATTCCTTACTCCTAAATTGTCCTGGCGCTCCTAGCTCTATTGCCAGGTCATTAGACCCAACTAGAAGCACATCCGCGCCGTCAACTGACGCGATCTCTTCAATGTTATCTATGCTCTCCTTTGTTTCAATCATCAAGAAGACGCTAGACCCGTTTCTATTCGTTTCAGAAATAATGGTGTCTTGGGGCGTTGCCTTGAGAGAGAACAGCGGGAGTTGTCCGGTGATCGACCTCTTGCCTTGAGGTGGGTATTTGCATATTGACACCGCCGCCTTAGCATCATCTAGTATGGATTGTGAGAACCTTCGCTGAGGCAGAACATCGTTCGAGGCAATCTTACCTCGACCATGGACATGCGGAAAGATCACACCCATCGCTCCGCCGTCCAGTACTTTCTGGACGAAGCCGTTTCCACATTGGTAAGGAACTCTGACGAAGGGAGTGATGCCCAGCTGTAAGCCAACTATGCAGTGCTGGCTCGCATCCTGGATGGAAAGTGTTGAGTGCTCCAAGTCAATGAAGAGAGCATCAAAGCCTCCGTTTGCCGCTAAATGGACGACTTGGGTATTGGTCACCAGCCTGATTCCCATCGCCTAAGAAACATTAGCCACCGGAATGCTCCCGCGTAAAAATCGACTGACCGTGCATAGCTTGCCGGCTCCGCTGAGACGGGTCAAGCTGTTGGTAAAGAGCGAGGCCATGGTGAAATGAGAAGACAGTGATCACAACTCAACCACAACCCATCGAGACCCTGTGTTCCAATAACTTGATCGCCGGCATTGCATAAATAACCAACCCTCGTACTGCCATTGATGAGGGGTAGATGGAAACGTCAGCTTACGTTCACTATTCTCGGCAGCCGTTCCCGCCGTCCTGCACGTTTCGGCAGCCCTTGCCGAGCCCGTGTAAGTTGGGTGTGGGGCGCCGGGATGTTGGCACAATTGTTATCTCGGCCACGGTTACCGCCCGCCGGTCTTATTGAAAGAGGATCTTATCACACACCTTTGAGTAATAATTTGAAGACAGTTTTGGAGAGTTGATGGGCCTTCGGCATCGTTCACACAACCATTTTACTCCTCGAGACGAATCGCTTCTGCTACAATGTTCGAGCACATCAAACCTGGTCCTCCGGACCCCATGTTCGATCTCAAAAGGGACTCGGACAACGATCAAAGCCCAGAAAAAGTTGATTTGGGGGTCGGAATATACAGGAATGAGTCTGGCTTGTATCAAGAGCTGGAGGTTGTGAAGTTGGTAGGTCGTCAAATCACTTCCTAGATTGCTCGCAGTAGCAAAGAGGGACAAAAAGCTGACGAATTTGGAGCTAGGCCAAGAAAGAGCTTGACCGACAGAATCTGGGACATGATGTATGTGTCCTGTAATATTCTGAGCGACGATCATGTCTAAGAACCTTTTAGTATGGCCCAACAATGGGTGACCCTGAATTTCTCAAATTTGCTGCTTCGGTGATGTTCGGAGACAAATGTGAAGCACTAGCTTCTGGCAAGGTATTTCCATTTACGCAAGGCCCCTTCGCAATAAGCCATACGTCGGAGGAGTAAAGTTGCTGATAGCTTGGTAGATTTCATCCGTCCAAACCATTTCAGGTACCGGTGCGAATGCCCTTGGCGCGCTGCTGATTTCGAAAGCCATGTCTCCGAACAGAAAGGTATACATCAGCACACCGACCTGGGGAAACCATTTCGACATATTTCACAATGTTGATATGGAAACTGTGAACTATCCGTATCTTGACTCATCCAAACACGCGGTGAACTTCGACGCTCTCCTGGAAGCAGTGCGGACGGCGCCTCAAGGTAGTGTGTTTATTTTGCAGGGCTGTTGCCACAACCCCTCTGGCGTCGATCTTAGTGTCCAACAGTGGCAGGAGTTAGCCACTGAGATGAAATCTCATGGCCAGCTACCTTTCTTCGACACTGCATATCAAGGCCTCGGCGATGGGCTTGACGAGGATGCGGCTGGTGTCCGAACCTTTGTCGAAGCTGGCGTGGAGATGCTTGTTTGTCAGTCGTTCTCAAAGAACTTTGCGCTTTACGGAGAGCGATGCGGAGCTCTCCACGTAGTAGCGGATTCCATTGAAGTGGCTGCGAATGTCAAGGATCGTCTTCGAAGTTTGATTCGTTACACACATTCTTCTTCTCCAGCCTACGGCAGTCGTCTAGTTAAGATTGTGTTGAGCAACGGCGAGTTCCGAAATGCTTGGTGAGCAACCCTTGGTTGATCACTCAAAGCGAAACTTACTGACGTGTCAGGGCCATGGAACTTGAGGGCATGAGAGAGAGATTGAAGCGCAGTCGTCAAGCACTATACAGTGAACTGACAAACGTCCTGAAAGTGAGTGCACAAAAGAATTCCGATTTTGTAGAATTAAATCTCATTGCATCCAGACACCAGGCGATTGGTCGCATCTTACCCAGGAAAAGGGATTATTCTCGTAAGTGGCACCAAGTCGGTCAAACACATGATCAATTAATGAGGACTGCTAGATGCCTAGCGCTGTCGCCAGCTCAATGCAAGACGTTGGTAACCACATATCACGTACACCTTCCGGGTTCTGGGCGCATCAATGTGGCTGGTTTGAGTGAGGATAATGTGCGTCGTGCCGCCAAAGCCATTGACGAAGTCATCAGGCAGATCGGACAGCAGAAGCTTTGAATAATTTGACCTCTACCTTAAGTCAGAGAGATTGGTAGAACTCCACAGAAGGCACCTTGGTGGGATTAACTTCACATTCAGTCGGGAAAGTTCAGGCAACTGGAGGCAACCAACTGAGGCCAAATATTTCCTGCTGCCTAACGTGCCAATTCGCAACTCGATACGGGTATAAATACCTGTCTTCTCCTCTGTATTCCAGTTTTCTCTCTTCTTCTTTTCCCCATCCCAGTGCAGGAGTGTACACAGATCACTGAAGCTTCGGCTGAGATTGTGTTTTTGCTGATGGTGGCCCTTTCACCACTGACCACTCCTAGTTGGTCTTGGCCAGCTAGAGAATTTTTGGACCATTTCTGTGACCAGAGCCGGCTCTTTCATTGCTACTGATCTCATGATTTGTAGCGAAGAAGGTGCACCCGATTCTTCGGCTTGATGCCAGTCGTTGGAGAGGCCGGTTTCTTTCGGTGCGTCTCAAAGGCATGCCTTCGCCGGTCCGACGGCGAGTCTCGCCGAAGATTCAAGTCTTGTCCCCGAAGGCGGATACGCTGTGAGCGGTTGCATATTTACTGCTGGTGATTGGCTGACCGTAAAGATCGCAAAGAGGTAGACTCGGGTAAGGGCAAACGTTTTCATCGGGGGGCAAAGCCACTGGCTTCCCGGCATGCGCGGGTTACCTTGGGCGTCAGGGTGTGAACACAAGTGAGATGAGAGTGATTTGGGTTGCCTAGCCCCGCCACGCTTCCAAGCCACTCGCGTCGACCGAGTCCGTTCCGCCCGCTTTCGTAATCTTTTGGGTGAGTGGGGCCGACTCGGGCCCGGTCCGGAAGAGGGCGCCGGCCGGGCATAAAACAGGGAGATGAAGTCTTTTCCACGCGTGCAGCTGTAACAGTTATAGTGATATCATGTCATTGCGAGAAATCTTATTTACTTTAAACAACTTGAAGTACTATTTGAACAGCCCCGAAGTCTTTTTGGTATTTGGCCCGTCAGCCGATTCTAAAGGCCAATTGAATAACTAGCGAATTGCCACCTTGCGGCTTTTCCATAACGCACTTGGCATCAATGTGCATGGTTTTATGTTCCAAAATTGATTCCATGGTAGATGCTTGGCTCGAATCGTTTGGTATGTCAGCGAGTCTTGGCTGTCCATGGCGCGAAAAGTCTCACTACGTCCGTACTTTTCGTAAAACTCGGGGCCATATGGTTCTAGATCGCTTTTGTGGACCTTTGAATTCCCTTGCATCTTGCCGAAAACTTAGTTCCCGTTGCAAAAAGGGCGACAGACCAAGTTCAGCGACGCATCCCACGTGCTCCCCAAGCCTAGCGCTCGCCTCTGGCTTCAACCGAGCCAGGCCGATGCAGGGCCTCAGAGGCCTAGTGTGCTCATGTTCATCGCAAATACATAACCGGTAATGGCGGCCCCTATCAGAACGATGTGGCTGACGATCACATAAGACGGTGCCAGTGCCGCGCAACCGGCTGGCCAGATCGGCAAGGCAACGCGATTACGCACGAGACGGGGAGAGCGACCACATGGACCACGGACTTTGGCTCACCACCATTCAGGGTATCTGTCTCGTTGTGCTTTGGAACGGCTCGTGGCTTTAGACATTCAAGGCTAAATAAGGTCCGATTTGTTTTATCCTTTGGCCGTTGAATTGCCCTCGCAGTTCACATGGCCGGCTGACGATGCAGCATTCGACGGGTAGAGCATGACGAAGAGCAGATTGTATGCTTTCGGCGGCAGTGGATAGCCAAGGGATGTCAGCTCGTGCAGCCAAATTGAATTGTGTCGTGATCAGAACCATCTGAGACATGGCCCTGAGTTGATAGGGGAACAGCGTGCCGATGGCCTCCGAGACATCCAACTCCAGATTTCTCGTCGCCTTTCAAAAACCCCTGGCAGATGACAAACGTGCTCGGGAATATTTCAATGAACCAGCCTGTAGCCGACATGAAAGTTACACGTTTCAGCGATTCATCTCCAGATTGTCCTGCAATTTTCCAGGCACGTTCATCTGTCAAAGTAGCCCCTTTAACGAAAACGCCCGTCGCGGGAAATCCGATGCGCACGATAAGGATGAATTTGGGTGCGCCACACCCGAATCCGGACGATGGATCCGGCATCGTACGTAGTGTTAGCAGCAACTCATGTTACGAAAGCGTGCGTAGCAGAATGTTAATGCGGCGCTAGGAGTCAGTATGTCTTGCACTAGTCACTTGCAGGACTCAGCTTCCCGCTCAGTGCTTCCTTTTATAATTACAGGCACCCGATCACTGATCAAGGGACGCTCTGGTAAAACGTGATGTGAAGATGTGACGATGGATGATGGCTCATTTCCCGACCCCGAAGGCGGTAACGATTATAGTACGTCAAGTCCCCACCCCGAATTCTCGAAGAGACCGAAACCCCGCCAAGCGATATCCCTGGCTGACAATTATGGCACACCAATAGACCACAGGATGGGTGACCATTCTCACCGCGGGGGCAGTGATTGCTGCGTCCCTTCATCTCCGGATCAACATACAAGGGAGGAAGCTTATGCCGAGCGACTACTTTCTATGCCTTGCCTGGTGCTCCGCGGTAGCCACAGCCTCATTCGATATCCAGTTTACGGTCATGGGGGCTTTGAAGCAAAATATCAAAATCACCCTAGATGGTTATGACGGCAGTGATGAGGATGTGATCAAGGTTATGAGGGTAAGTAGCATTTACCCCAAGCTACTCAATCATGAGTTGGGTCTGTGATCAACACTAATCGCTGTTTATTAGTTATTTTGGGCGAGCAGTATACCGTTCTTCACGACATTTTACCTGTGCAAGGGGGCGCTCCTTGCCGTCTACGTCCAACTTTTCCCTGTGTTCATGTATTGGCGCAGAATGTTGCTGTGGATCGTCATTGTCTACACAGGGCTGGCCTACTTGACTAGCATGTTGTTGCTTTTCACAATCTGCTTGCCTCTCAGCAAGAACTGGTGAGTCACTCGTCCTCCCACATCTGTTCAGTTCGACAATACTGACCTTTGTCCTAAGGGCTGTTGAGGATAGGGTAGTCGGAACAGAAAATGTGATGTGCTCGGCTTCTTCTCCGGCAATCGTGTTCCAAGTCGGATGGGCATTACATTTCTTCGGGGATATTCTCGGTAAGTCCCATTGATCAAACGTTTCCTCGGCCTGTGCGCTAACTTGAACTTCTGGGCAGTGTTCTCAATCCCGTGGCTGATCATTCCCGACCTGAAGATCAGAAAAGCGCTCAAAATAGGCGTTTATTGCACGTTCGGGCTTGGCATCATCAACATGACCTTCTCCTTAGTGAGGTTCATCACTATCCAAACAGCTTCTGTGGATTACTTGCCTTTTGGCCTAGTTGGTATGTCACCAGCCCTTGATTGATCGTCTCATGCTAGCCACCTGCTCACATATTTCCTCGCAGAACTTTGGAGCGAATTAGATGTCAATATCGGTTTACTCGTTGCAAGCCTACCGTCTCTCAGACCGTACTTCCGATCCAGCCGCAGAGCTGGCTACTCCGACAAGTCCAACGGTTACAATTACAAGTCAACAGTCAAAACACCAATGAGAGCGTCCGAAATGACTGGATTCGACATCATGACGTTGCCAACAATTGAAGAGCAAGATCTCGAGGACGTTGCTCCGAGCTCATCGACCCGATCGCAAAAGTCTGGAGTCGAAGTATAGCTCAAACAACTCATCGGCGGCTGTTGTTGGACATTGAAAGTGCACAAAGTCTGGATCGATGGTCCGACTGTACTATGTCTCGGGCCGCTTCATCATCGCTGATACGAAAATCAACATAGAATCAAGGCGCAGTCAAAGAAGCTGCGCGCATGTACATAGGATATGTGTGAACGAATTACTCATGACGAACTTTCATAGATGCATCATAGCGGGACGGTTTTCACATCATACCTTGTTAGACCTGGTCTAATATGAGTCGGAAGGATTTTCTTTTTCATTTCTCAGATACGAGACAAATATGCTCGAATGACATCAATTAATACCAGAACTCCTACTGTCACCTGATTCCCACAATCGAACCGAGACAGAGTCTCTCAATCTGTATCGGCTACGGCTTGTTATTCGTCATGCCAAGGTCCCCTCCAGACTCTCAATTGCCAATGGCCAATCCAGATACATTATCTGATTTTGAGAGAGCCACACATGGATCGTTTATTTGGTGAAGTATTTCAAAAGTTGAATCAGTGCAAAATTCGCGCCGTTGATTTGCTATCTCATCCAAAAACCCAAGATTGATTGCGATGTCTCCAGGGCACCTGCTGTAGTATATCATGCAAAATATAGTACATCATGAAAAAGCGGTCCAGTTCAACGAAGACGTACTATCAATATTTCACACGATGAATTCCTTGCACAAATCGAACCAGATGCCTTTCCAACAACGGAATCTCATCACAGTCAACAAGCCATACTCACAGGGGCAATGGTTGGTCAAAACAGCCTTCCGAAAGCCAGGGTCATGGGTTCTCAGCTTTAATCTATCTCGGACAGTCCGGCGACGGGCTCAAGACATGCTCGGGCACCGAGACATCTAGTAGGATGCGTGTAAGCGTACCGACCACCACTTCGGAGCGTTTTACCCAGCGTACCAATATGCAGTAATGCCGATGTCAGGGCCTGTCAACCCGTCATCCATGTTTCTCAGCCCAGCATGGCAAAGTAAGAGGGATGGCATTTGACGCTAGCTCCCAAATCCGCGTTACCGACCTTAGGGCCCGTCCAGGTGGTAGCAAAAGTGGACATTCAGCGAACGACCAGGCTGGATTCTCATGGTCTGAATACGGATGATTCCACTTAACCACGACTCATGCCCTCAATCCACTGTGGTCTGGACTCACGGTGAATTCGCGTGTTTTTGGTTTAGTTTCAACCGTGTTAGTGTAACTATGAAACTTTAAATGAATTCCATTCAAAACCGACCCTCTTCCCACCAAGGAGAAATCGTAGCCCTGCCACGAACCGTACGACAGGCGCGCGGGCATTACTGAATGTAGCCTTAGAGCCATGTCATCATAAATTAGGCAAGGAGCCGAAGCCGACGATAACGGGCCGTGGCTAGCGTCAGTTCCCGAGCGAAGAGACCGCCTGCACCACGATATCACATCACCACCTGGGGCATTCCAATATCGACTCTTCCGCTGACTCCGCGTTCTTGGCTTAACCCTGGCAAATTACAATGCAGATTTGCGACATGGAGTCTCACCAAGGTTGTCAGGAGGGATGCCGAGTGGGAGTAGCGGGTTTCTGATTGACACTAGACTCTCGACCTCTTAGAAGACGATACCCAAACATGCCGAGGGGTAACGCGGATAGATTGAAGGATTTGAACTTGTCTCCTCCTGTGGGATCATCGCCCGTGACCAGCCTTCACCCTCGCATCCCTTGTGGCCCTCAGTGACCTTCTCGATTTGGGTTTCTTATTGTCATCACGGGCAGGACCCTGATACCCAAATTCCCGCATAAAAAGAACCTGGCTGCTGAACTATGGAAAACTGTTTCCTTTGCTCTTCATCTTATTCTTCATAATCATTCAATAGGATCATTCTTCTTTACACTCTATACCAAGATGCACAGTCTTTCCGTCGGTGCGGCCCTTGCCGTCATGATTCAGGGCACGAACGCAGCTGCAACCAGTGCCGTTGCTACTTGGTACGGTGGAAACTTGAATGGAGGAAATTGCCTATTCTCTGGCTACACTCTTCCCTCCAGCGTGCTTGGTACTGCTCTATCGTACACCAACTACAACGGCAACTGCGGTACTTGCCTTAACGTCAAGGGTCCCAAGGGAAATACCATCAAGGTGATGGTAAGTTCACCAAATGCGGTCATTCGATGAATTCAACTGACAGGGGTCCAGGTCGTCGACAAGTGCCCTCAAGGCTGTGGAGCCGGGCAGCTTGATCTCTTCCCCGATGCGTTTGCCAAGCTTGACGACCCGAACAGGGGGGAGATTAAAGTGCAGTGGGAACAAGTCCCGTGCGGGATTACCACACCCATAGTTGTCCGCAATAAGGAGGGCACTTCTAAGTGGTGGTACGTTCCTCTTTGTCATCTTTCTGCCCATCTCTCAATTAACCCTCACACCCGATGCAGGTTCTCCATGCAAGTCATGAACCACAACTATCCCGTCACCAAGTTCGAAGTCAGTGCCGATGGTGGCAAGACCTGGCAGAGTACCGTTCGCCAAGACTACAACTACTGGCAGAAAAGTGGCGGTGATGGCTTCAACGTTGACACTGTCAGCGTTCGTGTCACTTGTAGCAACGGGAAGCAAGTTGTGATCAATAACGTAGGCACCACCGAGAAGGCGCAGTTCAAGGCTTCTGGCAATTGCTGAGCGACAAGACTCGCACATGACACCACAGTTCTGCGCATCGGTTCTGGTGACAATCCAATAAGCCCAAAGTGGACGTACATGCAGTCTGTACATATTTTTATCTTCTGCGTACATAATAAGTTGACATAAATACTAAACGCCCTTCATGTGCTATGCCCGTCAAGATGACGTTGCGTTGCAGTACGTTTGGCCCTCACATCTTGCAAGACCAGGACTTCATGAAAAGTCCCAACTCAAGCCTATCAATAAGAGAAAACCAGTCGTATCGCGAGCGGGCATGAATGTGCGTATCAATTGAAGCCGAGAGCCGGAATTTGAAGACTGTTGTCAGTCTGATGTGTTCCCAAGTAGCTCTAATTCGGAAAGCAAACCCGCCCCGTGGAGCGAACACAGGCGTGCGGGATGAGGGGCCGAGGATACGAAAAGGCCTGGCAGCTTTTTCGGCACAGCAGACCGAGCCTCCCCACAGGCCTAAACCCTGTAATCATTGGGTGCCCCATCATCAAATGATAGTTGATTCTGTCTGGTACTGCCTTTGAGAGCTATGGAGTGCTTACACACACGAATTTCCCCGAGATGACTGACTACGTCTGGAAGATCCTGGAGATGACCTGTTCAGAGTTGAATGCAAGAGGACGAACTACGGATTGCAATCCCAGGCCATGGGCACTAAACAGCGATATCCGTGGAAAATGACTTTAGACTTGTCCTCTTCGTACAAGGATGCGCTAGTTCAGATGCAAAATGGAACTGGGGCGAGCCACAACAGGTGTGGCTCGTTGAAATTTAGCGGATGATCAGCTTCTGACAGCGCACACGGTCGCAATCTCACCAACGCCATTCACTTCTTGTGATGCATCATGCTGCCAGATAGCCGCGCTTTACCATGTGAACACCTGTATGAGTAGAGATCCATGGTATCGCCGCTGAATCTTGCATCATGACTGGCGAAGGAGGAAGTCCCATCAATTTGGCGGAAAACGAAGCCGATCATGGAAACGCAAGTGCGCGGAGCAAACGATCAAGCAATGCGTCAGTCCCCCTGCTGGATCTTATGCCACACGTACGCTCCTTGGAATCTTACGCTGACGTTACCAAGCTGCCTAAGGTGTCGTGAAAGGAAGGTCAAGTGCTCAGGCTCGGAGCCTTGTACAAACTGCATCCGTCGCGCAACCGAGTGCGTGTTCGATAGGGAAGACAGAAAAGTGGTGGTGTCTGAGAGGTAGGCGGCTGCCGGCCCCTGCCCGTGATTCCCTCTGACCGGAATCAAAGGTTTTTAAATGAACTCAAACGCAAGTCCGGGTATGGTGTCGATGGTCATCTTCAGCCTTCGCCAGCATCCAAGCGATCTCGGGTAAACCGATCAACTTCCCCCGTGGACGACGACGGACGTCGTGGTTAGTATGGCCACTATTAGTTCCATCATACCTGAAGCTAAGGAGGCATGTTAGATACACAACAAAGCCCTACTCCAGCGGGAGATTTTGGGGCACATGATCGAGCATCGACGCATGATGTGTTCGCGGTGGATGATGGCACGACTGTTGTGGGCGGTGGCGACCTCGATGAGCGGCGTCATGGAGGTTTTCCTGTTATGCGAAACCCCCTTGCAAGTGGTGCATCCAGGTTCTTGACAGATTCAAACGGGAGAAGGCGTGAGTTTATGAAAGATACTTCATGGGAACGAATAACTAATTTGCTTCAGGATGGCTTGGCCCTTCATCAACTTGGGCGTACAGCCGACAGGTTCTGAGCATGATCCAGGGGTATCTTGGCCAACGCGAGTCACCAGAGCTTCCATTGAATGTTGACGCGCAGGCATTCAAGCTAGACTGGCCATCCTCCCGAGAACTTATTCCACGTCCTACAGTCGACATTCCGTCTCTCGATTACGCCCTCTATCTCACCAATACGGTCAAGTTTCACCTTGGCCAGACGTACCATCTGTTTGACGAAGACTCTTTCATGCATGGGTTATATGACTTTTATCGGAAAGGCCCCAACACAGAGCCCGAGGCAGGTGATCGACTGTGGTACATCCAATTTCTTCTCATCATGGCTTTCGGCAAAGCTTTACTCGTGCCAGGGACGCCAGATCAAAGACCCCCAGGCAGCAGTCTTGTCACCAGAGCCCTTGAACTTCTGCCCGATGCCCACGGTCTCTATCAAGACCCGGTCTTGTCCGTGGAGATACTATGCTGTCTCGCTCTATATTTGCAGTCTGTTGATCATCGCAATAGTGCTTACACCTATGTATGTCAAGCACCTCTACCTGACGGATGTCCTACTCATGACATAGGCAGATTGGCCAGGCTTTTCGTATCGCCATGACACAGGGACTGCATCGTGAGCCTCTCCAAGGGCTCCTAAGTGATGCAGAGGCCAATAGGTTGCGGTGCATCTGGTGGACCATTTACATTTTGGATCGAAAGCTGTCATCATTAATGGGCGCTCCGAACTCGATCCAGGACAGCGACATCACTGTCCATCTACCTCGGTCAGACCCGGCTGTACAGAAATACAAGGCTTTGAGTCTTCATGTCGTTCTTTCGAAGCTCCATGCCAAGGTTTTAAACAGTGAGGCCTCTTCCACAAAACTTCAGCTTGAACGCAACTGAAAATCTCACAGCCGTCTACGGGGTGGACGGCAAGCTCGACCCTTCATTTCTGAAAAATATTCAAGAAGTTCTCAGAGACATGGCGAGACTCGCTCCACAACTCACAGCAGGATTTGAGTTCAAGTTAAACAACTCGGAGCCTGCCTCACGAGTCTCCGCAACCCTCAACCTGTGTTACCATCAGGTATTTCGTCATCACCGTCCAGTATCTGTTTTGATTCATCTGACATCCATAGTGTGTGGTCCTCGCAACAAGACCTCTGTTAATGTGTCTACTACAAGACGTTCTAGCAAGAAGGGATCACTCCCAACGAAATCTGGCAAGTCCGATCAAGGCGCTTCTTAAGACATCTTCCGATTCAGCGACCAAGTCTCTTCGCATACTGTCAACGTTGCAAACTCAGCATCTTCTCGGTAGATGGCCTTCGATTTATCACCAGTCTTGCTATCAGTAACCTGACTATCTGTAGAAACATTTCTGCCATTTGACCTGGAACAAACTTTCTCATCTGCGTTTTTACTCAAGCTCATGACTTCCATTCCAGGCCTTCCCGACCGAGAAGGCAACCATATGAAAGATGCCTTCGAAATATTGGACACGATGATTGCTCGTGGCAACGTTGTTGCTCGGTTCCGGAAAGAAGAGCTAGAAAAGCTACAAGAGATGTTACGTTTGACACAGTCGCAGGTTGAAAGGCCGGTAGCGGCATCCGACAGAAATGAGGGACATTTAGTAGTGAACTCTGGCGGAGGTTCGGATAGTGGTGTTCTACAGGACCGTGGTCCAGCCACCGGCAGCACAGTCAATGGTCTGGCATCAGAGCAGATGTTGTCCATTGCGGGGCTGCTAGACTGGGAACCGAACATGTCTACTTTTGGCGACGATCAGCTTGCGGGAAGCTGGCTATGGACAGATACGATTCCGCAAGACTTCGATTTCGGCGGGGAACTTCTATGATAGGCCCTCGAATATGCCCTAGGATGATTCATTCCGAAATTTGTTAGCTTAACAGAACCACAGCTGATGCCAAATGACGAATGCGCTATGATCAAATAGGAAATATGCTTCTGTGACAAGGATAGGACAACTGGGTTTTACGGAGATAGGTATCTGGAAGTTTCTAGAGAACGCGACTTCTGGTGGAGTCTATGGGCGGTGACTTCTTTCCCGGTTGGGGCATCTTCGCCGCAACCTGACCATTTCGTGTCAGGAGACATCTTGTTATCAACCAAAGCAGTACATCCACGAGTAGTATAAGACCAGCTTCAGATAGGGGCCTGGCCGAGTGAGTGGGTTATCTGACACAAAGCGCGGGACGACGAACCGAGGGCTCTCCCCGCGTTTCCCAAGCTTCGGGACCCACTACCGAACCATTACCCCGGACCCACGGGGTTGAGATAAGGACCAAGTTTGGGGTGTCAAAGACTAACTAAAAGAAACTATGAAGATCTGTGTCTTTCGTATAACTCCTACTATCCCAATTCAACAGTTCAGCCTATGGGCCCTAAAGGCTAGAGCTGCGTCCCAGCCTTCGTCCTGAAGTACAACTCAATTGCACAAGACGTTAACAGTCTCAGTTTTCCCACCCTCCATCAACTCGGTCCTGTTTTTGACTTCAAATTTGGCGACAATATCGAACCATGGGCCAAGAGAAGCTAGAGCCCGCAGCCATGGAGAGCCTCTCTCGCCAACAAAGCGCAAAGGTTGGCGAGGTGCAGGATCCGGCAAACCAACCAGGTCATGACCTACACAAACGTCTTGAGACTCGTCATGTTACCATGATTGCCTTGGGAGGCGCGCTTGGAACAGGATTACTTATTGGAACGTGAGTCTCATCCCGGACTTCTTGTCGCCTAGAGATTCACGACTCTTGATAACATTTACCCAGTGGCTCTGCCCTCGTCAAGACAGGCCCTGCTGGAATACTCATAGACTATTCCATCGTCGGCTGCATAGTCTTTCTCGTCATGGCAGCACTCGGCGAGATCATCTCCTACATGCCGTTATCCCACGGTTTCGGTGGTTACGCAACCCGTTTCGTTGACCCTGCTCTGGGCTTCGCCACCGGTTACTCCTACTTCTTCAAGTACCTCCTCGCAACTCCGAACCAACTCTCCGCATTCGCTCTCATTATGAAGTTTTGGGTCGGTGATCGTGTTAGCCCGGCCGTCTTCATTACCATCGCCCTCGTCCTCATTCTTGTCATCAACAGCGTCAGCGTCAAAGCTTTCGGCGAGTTCGAATTCTGGTTGTCGTCATTGAAGGTGTTGATAATGATTGGTGTCATTTTCCTGCTCTTTATTCTTGCAGTTGGTGGCGGCCCAACTGGCGATCGCCCTGGGTTCAGGTACTGGTCCAATCCGGGAGCATTTGCGGAACACAAGGTCAATGGTGATAAGGGCCGGTTGCTTGGTGTATGGAGCGCGATGGTCGCAGCTGTGTACGCCTTCTCTGGTACCGAGCTGGTGGGTGTCACGGTTGGCGAGGCCAAGAATCCGCGACTAAGCATGCCGAAAGCCGTCCGCCTTACCTTCCTTCGTATTGTCTTCTTCTATGTGATCTCGGTCTTTCTGCTGGGACTTGTTGTTCCCTACGATAGCCAAGACCTCGCCTTTGCTGCCGGTGCGAAGACTAGTGCGGCTGCATCTCCGTTTGTCGTGGCCATCAAGATCGCGAAGATCAAAGGCCTCGATCATGTCATTAATGGCTGTTTGGTGGTATTTGTCTTTTCAGCTGCCAACTCGGATATCTACATCTCATCCCGTACGCTGTATGGCATCGCAATTGACGGAAAGGCACCTCGAATCTTCACGCGTACAACCAAGGCCGGTGTGCCCTTTGTATCTTTGGCCCTCTGCGGCGCATTCTGTGGCTTGGCGTACATGTCTGTCAGTTCCAGTGCGGCAACGGTGTTCAACAACCTTACGAGTATCGTTACGGTGTTCGGTGAGTATCGGAACACATTTGATGACTGCACGCATGCTAATTGGTTCAGGACTTCTGACTTGGATTTCCATTCTCATATCCCATATCTTCTTCTGCAGAGCCCGTGAGGCCCAAAAGATCGACCCTGCCTACATCCCTTACCGTGCTCCTTTTGGCACTTTGGGATCATACATCGCTCTCAGCTTTCTCATCGTTCTCACCCTCACAAAGGGCATTGAGGTATTCGTCGGCACCTTCGATTACAAGAGCTTCATCGTGCAGTACATCGGCATCCCAGTCTATCTGATCTGCATATTCGGCTATAAATTCGTCAAGAAATCGCATCGTGTTCGGGCCAAGACGGCGGATCTCGTAACCGGGGTGCCAGAAGAGACCGTGGCGGAAGAAAAGGCTCTAGTGGAGACGGCGAGGAGAGAGAAGGAGGCAGCGACAGGGAAGAAGGGCGTCATTGTCAAGATCTATCGCAAGGGATTTGCGTGGCTTTTTTAAGCTATCTCCTATTCAAATAGCAAATTGTTCATCAAAGTGACAGATGCCACCTTTTAGATGCGGCTTCATCGAAGGATCTGTCGAAATTCGATGTTCCGCATTCCCAGCACCCGAACGTCTCAAGACAGCTATGTGACCCAGTGTTCAGAGGGAGCAATTCGGGCTGAATGTCTTATCCGTACGAATACGGCGGGTAGCAATACATCAGGCTGGCTATGTTGTTTTCTTGGCATCACGGAGGCGGACTCTTCTCCGATGTGAACTGGGTCTCTGTCCCCACAACAATTGCCTGCTCCGTCCCATGCGGCGGGTTTGCATTCCGCTGTCCCCGTTGGCTAAGCGATTGGGCGATAAACCTGCCGTTGGAACCTCGTGCCCCAAAAGCATTTTCTAATCGGGGTTTAGCAGGCTGTACCAACGAAACTGCTTCCACTTACAGTTGAAAACAATGCCACATGTGCATGCAGTCTTACGAGACCCTTGTTTCTCTCCAGCTTGCAGGGCCTCATTCGCCCCAGTACGAGGACGATGTTCCCCTTCAAGAAAGACTTCCGTTGCAGAAGGACCCGATAAACTGCAGGGCTTTTGCAAACGTGCATACGATTACAAACAGTACACAAAGCCAAGAAGAGGGGTTTAGTGGCCAGCCAAATAACTGTTTGTCCTACCTGGAATGAGCAAGTTTGGTCAATCGAGTCGGTCAATCATCTTGGGTTTCCTCACTCGCGCGACTGCCTCTTCATTAGATCGAGAAAAAGTATCAGTTGGTTGGAGAGCTTGTTTCGTCGTTCATCCCCAGGATGTCAGCTTCCAACGCCACCACGGGAGTGTCAGATGCTCAGCCCAGCATTGTCTACGACAACCAGGTCGAAATCGCTCCCGACGAGGATGCGAATCAAGCGGTCGCTGCTCCTGCAGAACAACCGGTACAGCCACCTCAAGAGCCTTCGCCGTGCGGTGTGCGTAGCTAATCACGTGTCGCAGAACCAGGATGATGATGCGGCATCGATTACAGCTGTAAGTGGTCGAAACGACGCTTCCTATATGTCAACTGGTAGCTGATTCTTCCTTTCCAGAGCAGTGTTGGTTTGTCAACTTCTAGCGTGACTAGCTCAGTCTTGGAATACAGACAAGAGAATGGGCGGACTTACCATGGGTACAAAGAAGGGAGTACGTATTGCACATTCAAATTGACTCATGGCCAGAGTTCTGACAAAACATTCCTTAGAATACATGCTTCCAAATGACGATAGAGAGGTTGACAGGCTCGGTCAGCATTCCCGTTCCATGTGTTGATGAGTACTTGCGTAGCCAATCTAACACATCAAGCACAGACCTGCAGCACAACCTCTTCATCAGAACTTTTGACGGAAGGCTTGCAACTGCTCCCCCAAATGACCCTGGCGCCAAGGTCAAGAACGTTCTCGATGTCGGAACTGGAAGCGGAATCTGGGCAATGGACTTTGGGGATCAGCACCCTGAAGCGGAGGTCGGTCCAGAAACGAATCTTGCGAACACTCAATGTCGTTTCTGACTTTCACCAGGTGCGCGGATTTGATCTTTCAGCCGTGTTTCCTGAATTGTAAGTTACAACTTCTGAGCCTGCGTTGATAAGAATGGCTGACTGACCTTTCCAGCACCGCTCCTAACGTGCGATTTGAGATTGATGATCTCGAAGAGCCTTGGACTTGGACGGAGCCCTTTGACTACATTCATAGTCGAATGATGAATTCCTCAATCAGTGACTGGAAAGTATATATTCAAAAATGTTATGAGTAAGTCGAGTATCTGCTTGAGAGGACCGGGCGACTGACGACGGTGGATAGCAACTTGAGCCATGGGGGTTACCTTGAACTCATTGAGATCGATTGTATCCCTCTATCTGACGATGGAACTCTGACACCGGAACATTCCATTATGAAAACGGGCAATCTACTACTGGAGGCTACGACCAATGCTGGCCGCAAGTATATATACCCCCCTGATCTTAAGTCCATGATGATGGAAGCAGGCTTCGATGGCGTGACGATGCAACTCTTCAAATGGCCTGTTAACCCTTGGCCGAAAGAAAAGAAATACAAGGAACTTGGGCAGTGGCAGAATGAGAATCTCTTCCAGGGATGGGAAGCTATATGTATGGCGCCTCTAACGAGGGCGCTTGGCTGGACTAAGGAGGAAGTCACCGTTTTGATGGCCCAGAATCGCCGGGACTTCAACAATCGCAACATTCATGCCTATTTCCCGATGTGAGTTACTAAGTTTCACTCACTTTGAGGGTTACGTCCGTCTACTAACACACTCCTCCTAGCTGGACCATTTACGGCAGGAAGCTTCCCAAGACCGGTGGCGATTCTTAGTTGGCGGCTTTTTCATCCTGAGACCTTGCAGTCTCTGAATTTCCATAGAGATACACGTGTCAATTGCAATGTTTTAGACACTGATTGGGAGACCGCGAACAGATATTGAACTTTGGCTTCCCTTGGTATGTGCCCACAACAAGCTTATCGGCGATTCTTCTTGCGTGCAAAATCTCAGTTACATCCAATGTAACATCTGAATGTAATGCGAAGTCGCCGATGGACAAATGCAGGCTTCTCCGGGATTACTATTCGTAGGCCTGTGTTTCTGCTCATCCTTAAACGTGGACACTTCTCCGGACGTGTTCCAGCGGCACAAGCGGCTGGGCAAGAAAAGAGAAACAAAAATACTTATCCAGAACGACCAACAATGGCCTGCACCTCAGAACGATCCACGCTTCCGGACGTTGAATGACCAGGGAGGCGGCAGGCCAGCCTCTGAACCTCCATCCTGGTTCTTCAGCTTGGCACAGTGACATGGGATCGGGTCTTCGCACCCCTGCATTCCGAGTCCCTCGGGCTTCATTCTGATGGGTCATATTTGTTATCACGCGGAGAGTGGGCCATCCATGTCAACATATGGACAAGGCCTCGCTTGTATGCGCCTGCATTGACCAAATTCGGAAGAGGGGCTGGCTGTTGGCAATAAAATGTGATCGTTCCCTGTCCAGTCTCTGGGGTTGGTTTCTTCGTCCCGCTTTCCCAGTCGTCTTGACCCCAACACGACCCTTCGTTGCCACCCGACACCAAATTATCCATAGAATCACAATAGGAAACCTGGTCTTGGTTCTATCGGCATGTCGAACGCAAACGATGACAGTGGAGCCGTACCAGGCTCACCCGAAGCTGGCCAGGACAGTGTTTTCGATCGCACTGTGACAATCGAAGCTGAAGATGAGGTAACTTCTGCGCCATTGAATATGGGAGATCTTATGACTGACATTGCCCTGCAGGGAGATGGCGCCTCGACGATTGAAAACGTCAGTGACTGCCCTCAGTAACACGGGTCATGATAGCTCGAGATGTTCATTCTGATGCTCTTTTAGCAAAGCATACTTTCGTCAACCGCGAGTGTGACCGCATCAATGCTCGATTACCGTGTTGAGAATGGCAGGACCTACCATAGATACAAGGACGGCAGTAAGCACTGATCTCATTCTCATGCATTGCAAAGCTAAACTGACTTAGAATACAACTTGCCAAACGATGAAAGAGAGAGCGATAGACTCGGTACCGTTACCAGATAAGCCAGATACCTTTTTACAAAGCTCTAACAATGACTCAGACATGCAACATACGATGTTTTTGCTCACTTTCGATGACAGACTGGGCAATGCCCCTCCAAACGACCCGGGGGCGAAGGTAGGGCATGTTCTTGATGTTGGAACCGGCACAGGAATATGGGCCATAGATTTCGCCGATGAACACCCTGAAGCCGAAGTTCGCGGTATCGACTTGTCCGCCAACTTCCCAGAATTGTGAGTATTTGTACTACTTCATGGGGCGGTTGACATGTTGTCACATGGACTAGGCTGAAACGTTTAGTCAACCGCCGAATGTAAAGTTCGAGATCGACGATTTGGAGGAGCCGTGGACTTTCTCTAAGCCCTTCGACTATATCCACAGCCGAATGATGAACTCTTCTATCAGTGATTGGAAGGAGTACATACAGAAGTGTTACAAGTTAGTACCTATCAATTGCGTCAAGCTACTACTTGGGAGCTGTGCTGACCCCTTTCTATACAGCAACCTGAACGCTGGTGGCTATCTTGAGCTGAACGAGATTGACTTGATGCCACTCTCCGATGACGGAACCTTGAAGCCGGACCATACTCTCGTTAAAACTAGCGCGTTGATTCAGGAGGCCCTTCAAATCATTGGACGTCCTTATCAGGACGTCAAGGCACTCAAATCTCTCCTAGCTGATGTTGGATTTGTTGACATCAGGCTACAGCAATACAAGTGGCCTACTAATAGCTGGCCGAGGGAGAGACGTCACAAAGAGCTCGGCGTCTGGCAAAACGAGAACATTCACGAAGGCTGGGAGTCCATCTGCATGGCCCCGTTGACTAGAATCCTTGGCTGGACCAGAGAGGAGGTGTTGGTGTTGATGGCACAAAATCGTAAGGAACAGGATGACCGAAGCATCCACGCATATTACTCTATGTAAGCCCAGCCAACCGAAGAAGTCTGACGATAAGAGTCGCTAACAAAGGTCATCAAGCTGGTCTGTCTACGGACGGAAGCCGGAGAAGCCAGCAGCGGCTGCTTAACTGGGGACATGCGAAAGCAACAACCTCCATCTCCACTCATTTTGATGTTGGAATAGGTTTGATCGGCCCGGCAGTCGTCAATTAGATCATGCATATCTTACATAGTGTAATGGATCTCCGTAATACAATCTCTGCCAATATTCGCATCCGTGTAAGTTTCGATTCTTTTGGCGGAACCGTTGAGTTGGTATGAAACGTTCCAAATTTTCATCAAATACCGACGAAGACCCGGATGCATTTGAAGTGCCTCTCCACTTTTAAAAGTGGTATATCCTTCGAGTTTTGCCAGTCGTCCTACTTAAATGCCGCCACTCCTCATCGTCATCGTCATTGTTACTGTATTGAACGAAATCTCCAAAAGACGTTTGCTTCTGAGTTATTCAAGAACTCTGTCGAATGAAAACACGTTGATCTCTTGGATAACGCGAACATCCGACACGCTCTGAACAGCCGGTAGCCAGTGGCGGATGTCTTTTCAACAGCACCGCTATGTCATCTTATGGCCAGTTTCCCGTCTGTCACATGTTGGTATACAAACCGAATTTGGTTATATCTACCGGGCTATCTCAAGAAATAGATTGTTCGAGAAGTGTCTAGCCGCGATTAATATGCCTAAGCGCAACAGGTATTCCGACGCCAACCCTTCTTGGCTCTTAGGCATCGCACCAAACAATCATACTACCCCCTACAGCTCGCTAGCAGAGCCCATCCACGTTTCGTGGGTATACGAGAGATATGTGGCATATTCAACATGAGAGCTCGTTCGTAAGTAATTGAAAGAGGACCTCAATGTCGTCCGACACCGCCCAAGCCGTGGGCTAATCCCCAAGTATACATGAAGAGGAGAAAGGTTAGAGCCACAAGACAGATATTAATAAATACCTACGTACAGCAATATCTTGGCCGACCAAAACTGTAGTACCCCAAGATGGAGTCAACGCTGTCAGCTGCTCAGTTTCTCGGAAGCCGGACCATCAGCATCGGCAACAAGCTCCATGAGGACATGAACAAATATAAATTTCGCCGCCTTGCCAAGCTGACAGAAGCGGCTCAAAAGCCCCCTTCATATAACCCCTGGATTAGCCATAGCGGTTACGCTGTGATCCTCCACATATTTCCCCGTCAGGGTCATACGGCTGTCAACAAGGTGCGCCTCCAGGCGGCAAACTGCGAAGGAAAAGTCAGAAGGGAAGAAGCATTCACATATAGATTGCCCCAGAACATGTCCGAACTGGCGCTTGATTATCCAACGCAAATCGACTTTTAATCGGTCGCGTTGGAGCATCTTCGGGCAATGGCTGATGTTAACAAGTCTTGTCATTATTCTTCCCTCACCAACCCCCATCTATGTAGACAACATTGCTCGTGTATTCATACCGGCTTCCATCACTTCCACTATCATGTTGGGAGTATTCTCAATACCATACAAACTCTTGTATGACTTTGGAGTCAACCCCTGTGAGGCGTAGTTCGTCGCGGCCTTGTGTTCTTCCTATGCGAAAAGCAAGAGCTCGCATAGTAGAGTCAAAATGACCCGGTCCCGCCTGATTATGCAAACCTTTCAATGCTGCGTCACAGTTGAAAAGCCGTCTAATATATCCTCGCGCCCAAAGATGATGTGGCGGCGTAGAAACTCAAGGTCGGTTTCAAGGAAGTCACAGAATGACGGTTGTTTCTCGGGCACCGCAACAAAGTGTCAACTATTGAAAACCACCGAGAAGTCATCATCTGATTTCTCAAGGCCAATTAAAAGATTCGTGCTTATCTGTTGCGGGACAGCTCAAAACAAGGGATTGTGCTTCCAAAACATAGCGATCAAAACCTAGGCTCTTCAAATCCCCTGCTGGCCACACTGTCATCGATCCAATCCAGAGACTGCCAAAGCTGTGCCAACCTTTCTCCTCATTTCTAGTCAACCTTCCCTTGGCAGTATTCATTACGTGTTCCAGCTCCGGGAACATCTCGCCAGAGCCAACTATAAAATGGATCCAACACAGAACGGATTCATCTTCCAGCCCAGACAAAATGACAGCGTCATCATCATGCGAGGTTGCAATGAGACAAACACGACGCCAGTGTGTCCAACCACTTCTCCCCGACATCTGCTACATGGGCATGACTCTGAAGCCTGTTGCTTCAATCTGGCCGTTTCACCCTCCAGTTGCGTGCTCGGAATCAATTTATACGCCGAGAAATAGGGGGATATTGCTGCGCGTGGCGTGATGGGCACGAGGGGAACGAAATATCAAAATGACACTTCACCGACAGGCCATCGGCTCGCGCTTTCTTAGGAATCACAGACATCACAGCCACCACGAGATCCTCAAAATGAACGGCAACCACATGTCTTGCGTTATCTAGTACACAGCGAAGCCGCACGCGACCCCGCTCAAACACGTACACGTCCATCGCCGGACCCCTCATCGGGGACCCCACCAACCGCCATCACCATTGCCTGCACGCATGCCCGCAATCACAGGGAAAAATCAAGGGGAAAAAAGTCTATCATCACCGCCCTTGAGTCGTTTGCGGTAAGGCACACACCGTCCCCAGCGCCGCCATCCTTTGATTACTGAACCAAGAACCTGTTCTGCGGTATCTCCATCCGCCATGCCACTTTGTTGAAGGTTGTAGCGACAAGGTGGGGAAATGGGCCGGGCAGGTAAGCATCGGCAAAAGAGTTGATAAGACAACAACACAGTAGAAGATAGAGTTGTTACATGCCCTCGAAGTCGCCACCGAGATCGTCCTCATCCAGGTCACCCTCCTGTATCTCCTTCGCCATCTCACGTTCGCGTTCGCGTGCTTCTTGGGCGTTCTTAAGCTCGAGGCGGTGCTGGTTCATGGGGAATCGCATAGCCTGGAGAGGTTGGGTTAGCAAATTGTCAGAGAAATGACATGGAATCAGTGTACCTTGACGCTCTCGTCGTGCAGAGCCAAGCACGCGCGAATTCTGTCGTGGAAGGCTTCACCGGGCTCCCGCGTAGCGTAGACGTCGCCGACCTCCTTGCTCTTCATGTATCCGTGCTCGCGGTCCAGAGTGGCCTCAATGACACCGTCGCGGATGGCCTTGGCGACAATGTACTCAGCTGACTCCTCGCTGCCGAGATCGAGACGAATGCAAATGTCGCGCAGGGAGATGCGAGAGTATGACAGAGACATCATGCGGATTCCGGTCTTGATGACATTCTGGCGGAGACGGAGGATCAGGCTGTAGGTGCCGTCGCGACGGAAGGTATCGGCGTGGTCGGCAATGATCGTCTCGAAGTTTTGCACCTTACCGACGCGAACGGCCTGGACGAGGAGGAAGTAGGGGTGCAGAGCCAGCTCGAGGGTAGGCTGGCGGAAGGTGGAGCGCTCGGGGATGTCACCCATCAGCAGCTCGACGACAAGCAGCAGCTTGGTGGCGGTCTGGGAGAAGCCGACGGCGGCGGCGCTTGAGGGGGCCTTACGGGTCGCGGCCGTAAGGTGCTCGTGTGCCTCGGTGTATCTGAGCTGGATAGCGCGGATGCGTCCCAGGTAGTACAGGAAACGGGCAACCTGGTTGTTGGCAGCGTTCTCAGGGAACTGGGTGTGGGAGACGAGGAGATCGGCTTGCGCGATGTGGGACGTCAGCAGGTAGCTGCGAAGCAGCAACACGATAACCGAAGCTTGCGTATCGATGTCCTTGCGGAGAACAGCAGTACGCAGAGCAGCGAGCAGCGTTGGCCTGATGGCAACGATCGGGGACTGGGGAGACGATGGCTGAGGCGCAAGGTTCTCGCAGAACATTGAGTAGTAGAAGTAGACCTTGGCGGAGAGGGAGTCTAATGTGCGGCGGTTGAGGTTGTGGATGCGGTCAGTGAGCTGCTTGGAGAAGTCGGCTCCCAGCTGGAACTGCTTCGAGTCGTAGAGGTGGACCTGGATTAGAATGCCGAGGAAGATGTCAATCTCCGGGATGATCTCCTTTGCCTCCTTCTTCTGGCCGTTCTTGGCCGTCTTCGCGGGCTCGCTGTCGACTTCCATCTCGGGACCGCTAGAGCGACCCAGGGGAACGTTCTCGCGGCCGATGGCAACCAGAAGCTGCTTGGCAACATTTCCGGAGGCGACGGTCGCGGGGAAGGTCTCGACGATAACCTGGGCAATGATGTCGGGGGTCAGGCGCTTGCGGATGGTCGAGATTGACCGCAGAGCTCGGAGGGTGAATCTGGCATCGAAGAGAACGACGGCGCGATCTAGCAGAGCAAAGTTGCTCTTGATTTCTGTTCATAGTTATTTCGTCAGTAAGAAGCTTCAGACGGTAGTGCACCGTAGATATTCTATTCGAATGTGAAGCAGCATTGCGTACCTGCCACAGCCTGCACCACAGGGTCGACCGTAACCTCTGCCTCATCCTTGCCCTCATCACCCATCTCAACGTCACCATCAACGTCACCAGAAGGAGCGGCAGCCTTCTTCGAAGGGGGGACGACCACAGTCATCTCCTCGTCGCCGTCCTTGGCGGCCTTCTTGCTCTTGTTCTTTGCCTCGTCCTTCTTGTTGTTCTGGACGCCGTTCTCGAGGGGCTCCTTCCCGTTGCGCGAGGGTGTTTTGCCCGGCATGTCTGCTAAGTGGGCCAGCTGTAGATGTGTATGTGGAAGTGTTCCGGGTGCCGTCTGGGGTGGCAGCGGTCGGCTATCGGTCGTGATGTCGCGCCCGGGGAAGAGGGAGTAAGGTGGGTGTTGTTTTGCGTAGATACGGAGCCCCGTCAGGTGTCTCGTACCGGCAGGATTGGGTGGGAAAGTCAGGTGACAGAGGTCGGAGGTGGAGAGTGTACGCAGTTGGAGGCCGGAGCTCTGTCGGAGTCGGCGTTCGCTGATGGGAATGGGTGGTTGTTGTTTGGCCGTTTGCCTCGTGATGCAAGAAGGTTCGATGGAGGAGAGCTCAAAGATTGAACACCTGAGGCTTGGGCTACTGCTGCTGCTGCAGCACTCAGGCCCTTGGGGCGACGACACCTAGCAGAGGTCACGGTACTCTGTTGG